CACCTTAGATCAACTGGAAAGCGTTCTTCCTTCAGTTTTCAAGGAGATCAACTTAGAAAATCCCTTCATCCCAACCATTGATAGGAAAGGAAAGGTCTAATGAGATGATAGAAAAATGCAAGCATCAGAATGTCAGCAAACTGCATATAATGCCATATAGAAAATGGCCCAGCCACTAAAAAGTATACTCTGGTAAGGAAGAATAAGAAATATTGACCTTCTCGGTAATTTTCCTGAGGATTTCATTTAGTTATTCATAGTGCTACTGTGGCTAAGGGAAGCATCTTTTGGTCCAATATTTTGTTGATTAAACTACCTGCATCCTTTCACCATTCTACTTTTGGTCTTATCTGGTTTGCGAGGTATGTGAGAACGATGTAAGCATTTATGGTAGGCAAAAATGTACCGAACAAGTTTATGCTCTCAGTAAGGATAATAACCTTTTTTCTGAAATTCGCCATGGATATCTTTTAGCGCTTCTTTTCTTAATTTTTTAAGGATACTTGTGGAGTAATTTTAGACAGAATGTTGCTCAAAATCTGCAGAAGTAATTTGAGAGGCTTATAAAAAAACGCCTATGATTTTTTAAACATCAAGGTTGTTGAGGTACTACCATGAGGACCACAAATTAGCAATCGATACGTTGCTATGAAATGGTGAAAAAGTATGTAATAAGCCACTTATATAGAACAAAAAGTCTTCACATTTGGGGTAACTCACTGGTAAATTCGTTAGTCTTGCCGTAACTTTGGCTCCTGTTCTCTACTCATAAAATAAGTAAATGTTCAAAGAAACGGTGCTCTATGAGGAATAAGTTGTATTTGATATTCCAATACTTATAATATTGGGTCGAAACTGCTTTCAACTGCTGACAGGAAGTGAGGTTAGTTAGTGCTAGAATCAAATTTAGCGACCTAGGAAGACTGGTTTTTAGAATAAAGTAGGGATTTTAAGGACTTCCAAGTAACTTTTTTCTAATCCTTTATCTTTCATCACAGCTTCGTATCAATACATCAATACCGAATGAGCACGAGACATGCAGGTAAAGATAAATGTCCGAAGAGAAGTTATGAAATCGATATTGCAATTGGTGTGGATGCGTTAATTTGGCGGAACCCTGGAGATTCATAAAGCTTCTAGGGTTATTTGCTTAACATGTACGCAAGAAGCTAAACTAAGCTGTCTGTCAAAAGCGATATACTATCTTCTAGGCTGACTCAATGTGCTTCATAATCCATCTTCGACTAATAACAAAACTGTAGTAATTATCCAGTTGTTCCTCTTTAAGCAAGGTCTGAAAAAGTTTAGACATTGTGAAACGATTGGCAATATCTCCCTTTGTGCCTGGTAAGATTTTGACGTTGCAAAAAATACGCTAAGCGACGTAAGAGAAAGTTCTGATAAAACTCAGAATTATTTTAACTGATGGATTCACATTTTTTGCTCAATTTCCTTTTGAGGGAGGCTTTTAGGATAAGCCTAATATTTATCATTCCGATAAGGGAAAAGAATAAGCAGAGACATGATTGAATAAGGGTAATATCGATTAAAAGTCAGCTTATTAAGGGAAACTGACCTCATGTGCATTCATAAGGCTGCGTTCAATAGTGAAATATAAATTTTAGCTAACACGTGACGAAGGGATTACTAGTGGAGGAGTGATCATTAGCTTTAGTATAAATACGAGATTTTTCTGTAGACAAGGCATTCAAACAATCTTGCAGTTGAGATGAACGTAAGTTACGATGAACAAAATAAAGAAGTGAATCTCTAGTTTAGAGTAACCATATTAGATTCTTTAAATCTAAGAATTTTAATAATGATTATAAAATATCTTAAATCTTAAGTACAATAGTTAGCACTAGAAGAAAGGCAAATTATGATATTGGATTCAAATTCATTTGCATTTGTATATACTTAAATGCTCTGTTTTACTTTCAGATCTACATGTCACTTTCCCGTGTTTCATTCGTCTTGGTTTTGGCTTTGATCATTGGGGCCAACTGCCAAGACACAACTAAGCAATTCACGCCAACTACAATGCAACCAATAAAGACTTCAGAGACAACCATGCCCCCTTCTACTGTCTCGAGTAGCACTAGCAATAAAGCGGATCAGACATCACAAACAATGACAGGCTCGAGCACGATGGGGACACCGAAGACAACCCAGCCAGTCAAGACTACCTCCTCAGGTCTCCCATCAACCGGTTCCACACCTGTTATAAGCGGTGCCCATGGTCATGGTCACGGTCATGGTCACGGTCATGGTCACGGTCATGGTCATGGTCACGGTCATGGTCATGGTCATGTTCGTGGGGTTCATGCTTGGTGAAGTTGGGCCTATTGACTGCAGAGTTTCTTACAAATCGTCAAAGCCGAAGTTTGGATTGACTCAGAATAATAAACCTTTTTGTAACCTTCATTATAGATGATAAATTTTAATATTTAAAATAAACCAATTGTTCAATTCATTTGTGACGATTTTTCATTAATTGGGAGTTCATATAATTACAGTTTGGTCGTATTTTCATAAGTTGATATTTCTAACTAATTACATTATGCCGATCTGCAGTAACTTCATGGAGGAGTATTGCTATTTATTTTTGCCAATACAACTGCCTTCCAGCAGAGTATGTGTGTGTTCTCAGATGTTTGACCTCTATTTGCGGCAGCCTATTAAAGTCTGGATGGGACCTCTTCACACATTTATTCAGCTTACTTTAATATCTATTCTCTTTTCAGGCGCTACCTGAGGTTCTTAGTAATGGGTAGTCGCATAGTTATCAGGAGTCTTTATTGTGTCAGTTTAGGTCGGTTTGCAATTAGACTGATTACAAACTTAGACGCTCTTTAACGTTGTTATCGCAATTTGGTCATATTGTTAGAGGAACGTGCCTTGTCGGGACGCCATAGTAACCATGATAATTTCCAGAGTTGGACTGTGGACTTGGTACATTCCCAGACGTTTCGCCTGCATTGTGGTCTGCATCGTCAGTGAGCTTTGCCAGTCTTAGCATCACACTACAACTCTAAGTCTCCGTGAAGATACGACAAAGTTGCGAAAACAAAATCATATAACTTCTATTCAATGTAAGGAGACCGCTATCACACTAATGGCCAAATATCTTGGCCTCCATACATTTGATTTTAAATTAGCATAGGAAAAATTAAACTGGTAGATTGATTATTTACATCACTTTTTACAGTATTTTGCACCCCCAAATTAGGTTCTCATTCATAATTGACTGCATTTTCGACTTTGTAATAACATATAAATAACATTGCCATTGGGATTCGAAGCATGGATGTAGGAGGTATGAAGCGGGCAATTTAACCCTTAGGCCACAGAGAAAAAGATCGTTTGGTCTAAATGACTCTAAAGAGAGAATCAAGCTCCTCCAGACTCATTTCGTTGTTAATACTCTGTATCTAGAATCGAGGATCTCTAAGTAAAGTCAACAGTGAGGCCCATACTTGACAAAAAGGGCCTGTTGAGAAACATGGAGTAGTAAAGTTCATTGCAAAAGATGTGATTAGATTCGTTATTATTCCAATAACTCCTTCTAAATAGGTGCATATCATTTTATTTCTGTCTCCTGGATAAGTGAATGATCAGTATTAATTCGGATTATCCAGTAACAAGGAAAATTTTTGACATGAAAGCATTAGTTGAAATTCTTTACTGGCCATCTGTTTATGGATTCTTGATCTGACGAGTTATGATAGATGACATAAAATAGCTCACCAAGTGTTCATTTTGGCTGTAGGACTCCTTGTCTAGAACCATCTTAACCCTTCGATGAGATATACCAACTGTCCCCCCCTGCAACATTTAGCATGAAGTTAAACGTCCGAAAGAATGAAAGACTTTGAGAAGATCAGATAAGAATTCAACAAATTATGCCTCTGCACTTGTCCTGAGACCTAGTATAAAGATAGAAATGTGAAGAATGTAGTAATAACTTTGTAAAGATATAAGTTTCACAAATGCCAAGAATTGATAAACTTGCTCGTGATAGAGGTCGATAAGCAGCAGAATAGAAAATAGATAAGAAGCTGGAGTGGGAAGCCAAATGAGCTTGCAAGAAGTGAAAAACCAACGTTGAGAGGCCAATGAATGGGATGTCGTGGAAGTTCAATGCGGACAGATAGCATTGAATTAAAGCCAGCCCTTCTGAATTTTTTCATTCTTCTAGGGTCTAACTTCTTTGCTTACGTCCAGAGAGAAATCGTAAAGCCATGGTTTATAATAAAGGGGTTACTTATCAACAATTACAGGTTCATATGGTTATGATAAAAGTATACTGGCAAGTGCCATAAGCAATTAATGTGGTTCATTTGCTATAAGTTAAGTATACCCGAGCAATGCTGCTGGGCGTAGATTTTGTAAATACAAGCTATATCAGGCATAATTTCTTAGGCACCTCAGAGAAACTGTCTGATGAGGTAAAGGTTCAAGCCTTCTGCTAAAATATCAAGATTTCTTCACTATTTAGACAATCTTAAGGCATTCTTTAATAATTTCTTTTGGCTAGTGTGTGTAGCTACCTAGTTTTGGCAAATACTCAGCGTGTTTTCCATAAATTGATTGATAGTTTTATTCATAAAATTGTATAGTCCGGAAGGCCGATGCAAAGGGATCCCCACAATCCTGCATTCGCCAATGAGATTCATGCTAATCTTTAACATATAGACATATAATAAATTCATGAATTTTGTTTAAAAGTGGCGAGTATCGTATACTGAAGAAAACATATTCCTTATCCTACTTTACTGCTGGGGATCTACCAATGCTTTAAAGATTTATACTCAAGGGTATATTATTGCTTTGCCCAAAGAGATTTTTTCCAATTCTATTATCTCACAAACAACAAAGTCTGTAAAACTATAGCCTTACTATTATGAGACACTACATTATTATAGCTGGGGCACTGCGGAGGTGATACATGTGCCCTAAAAAAAGAAAACTTGCTCTTTCCTGTTTCTAGGTGATCGGATAAGTCTGAATTCCTTCATACTTGATTGCCCTT